ATCTCACACAATGCATATGCGAAATAAAACTTCAATCGATGCATAAATTTCAAACCATATATACTGTTTAATGGGGTGGTAGAGGGGCTGCATGCCATGAGCATATTGTTTAAGGGGTAGTGGTCGCAGGTGGTGGAGAGAGAAACGGGATAGAGGGAATTGTAGTAGGGATATTGATTGGAAGTCCTGACGGAAACTTTGGCAATGGAGGCAGTGCAATCTTAGGGATAGCTGGCACAGTAGGGAAACTGGGAAGTGGAGGCAGCTGCGTTGCGGGTTTAGGTAGAGATGGTTGGCTTGGCTGTTTGGCAAGTTTGGCAATGTGGGTTGTGGCAATGTTGGGAGAGGAGGCAAAGGTGGCTGTGCTGTTGCAGGTTTAGGGAAAGTTGGTGCAGTATTCGTCTGCAAAAGATTGCGCCCCGCTACGGCCACACATGGATGCTTGAGAAGCTAGCACAAGAGAATGAAGACAGCTAAGAAGCAACACTTGCAAGAGGCCATTGATTCAAATTGTCTCAAAAAATTTGAAGTAGTATTTGAAAGGAGTATGAGTTTGATTTGGATAATCAGTTTGTTTTGTGTGGGTTTATATAGTAAGGGAAATATGTATGGTTGTGTTGTTATTGATTTACCAAGATGTAGTTAGGAAAAACTTAACGACCCATGAGGTCTAGGTGTTGTACTAGTTGTTAGTTCACCTTTTTGTCCATCCGCCAATGAAAAAGAGTCTCTTAAAGTTGTTGACTTCGGTGCGGTTGGTTAGCTATATTTATAAGTTAATGTGTTACGCGCTGCGGGGGGAGGGTGTAACTAATGGTACACGTTGAATTTAGAAATATCTTTAAATAGTTGTAATGAATGCAGGAATTAATTTAGAAACTTATTTGAAATTAAATATTAAATTCAACATTAACGTTTTGGTTCTATAGGTGATTAACTTTTTGGTTTATTTAATATAAAAAATTATGTTGTTTTCCTTTTATGAATTATACGACTACTAATCTATTTTATTATAGTTTTATGAATAACAGTGTACATTCTAATTATGTTAAAAATAATTTGATAATTTATTTATTGTTTTTTTTTTTAAAACGTTTTTTGAAATGAACTATTTTTTCTCTAAATAATGTACCTATTTTTTTTAAATCTAAATAATGTATCTTTTTTTCTCTAAATAAAGCTCTTATTACTTGTTTTATGAAAAATAATTTGACCATCTTCTTACTGTTTGTTTTTTTTTAAATGAACCTATTTTTTATCTCCAAATTATGTACCTATTTTTTTCTCTAATAATGTACCTAGTAAAACAATTTACCTAGTATAATGAACCTATTTTTCCGCTAAATTTTGTATCTATTTTTTTCCTAAATAATGTACCTATTACTTGTTTTATGAAAAATAATTTTTTAATCTATTTATTTTTTGTTTTATGAATATTTTAAAAAATGAACCTATTTTTTCTTTAAATAATGTACCTATTTTTTTTTTCTCTAATAATTTATACCTAGTAAAATAATTTACCTAGCATAATGAACTAAATTTTTTTTCTTCTAAATAATGTACCTATTTTTTTATTTATAAAAAATGTGCACAAATTCAACTATACAATGTACCTATTTTCTATAAATTATTGTGTACCTATTTTTAATTTATGAAAAATGTACGGAAATTTCAATTACAAAGTAACTGACCTAGTTTTTTTAAAATTATTTTGGTAAATAATATACCTATATTTTTATACGTATAAATTTATATTTATATTTTTCATATGTACATTATTGGATATGTAATTTACAAGAAAAAATTTGGTTTGCAATTTTAGGGGGCGATATGTTAGAGGGAATGGCAACCAAACGAAATGGGGTGATTGATATACTATTAATAGGGAGTTTTAATTACAATTATGGTAGTTAATGAAATATTTGGAATAAATTATAAATAAAATATGAAGTCTGATGGCAATAATGTAAAAACATAGGAATACTATGACCTCTTATATCCTAATGGTCATTTAAGTTTGAAAATGAGTTTTACACATAGATTTATAGAATGATGGGTATATGTCTAGGAAATAGAAATTGTATGGAGCTATATTGGACAAGCCCTTTTAAAATAGGTTTCTTATCACAAATATGGTTTCTGAGGTTCGCAAAACTATCACTTTTCATACTTAAGCTTTTTTGTGACACAATTGGTCCTTAAGGTTACATGTACATGGCTTTTTATCACAAAACGTCATTGAGGTTTGCGAAACTATCAGGTTGCGTCCTTTATATTTTTTTTTGTCATTTGTGGTCCTTAAGGTTAATACGTGTTCTCACAAATAGTCCTTGATGTTATGTTCCGTCCAAAAATCTATTCAATTGATGATGTGACATACATGTGGGTCTCACATATCCAATGATATGACAGCAACCAACCCTAAACTCCACTCTCCCCCTCCCCCCCTCCTCTCTTTATAAACCATGAAGGCCTTGACTTTACCAACAACTCCGAAGAAGGCAGCAACAAAATAGAATCGAGTACCAAAATTTTATCCCTAAAAATTCACAAACAAGCAAGAATTCATGTAATTTCACCCATTTTTGTATTATATAAATAATTACAACATACAATTTTGGTCTTTGGTGGTGGAGATTAGATGGGTAGTGGGTGAGGGGGAGTTCATAGCATATCAAGGTTTGGGTTGGCTGTTGTGGGTGTTGATTTGGAATAGTGGGTTGGAAGGAGGCTGGATAGGGGTTTGGAGCAATGGAGGAGGTGGTGAATTTTTTTTTTAATGGTTTATAATTTGAAATTATTTTTAAAATATAATTATTTTTATTTAATCCATGTGGCATCATCTCATTGGATATGTGAGACCCACATGTGTGCTACATCATCGATTTAACAGATTTTTGGACGGAACGTAATGGCAAAGATTATTTGTGAGCACACGTATTAACCTTACGGATCATAAATGACACCAAAAAAAAAAACATAAATGATGCAATATGATAGTTTCACAAACCTTAGGGAAGTTTTGTGATAAAAAGCCTATGTACATCAATTTGGTCCATGTCGTCAACCTCTGTTAAATTGATGATGTGGCACATATGTGGAGCCCACGGATTATAAGTTGCCTTTGTATTATAAGTTGTCATTGGATTATAAGTTGCGATCATATTATAAGTTGCCTTTGGATTATAAGTTGCCTTAGAATAATAAGTAGTCTTCGAATTATAACTTGCCTGCAGATTATAACTTGCCTTCGGATTATAAGTTGCCTTCGGATATAAGTTGCCTTCATATATAAATTGCCTTTGAATTATAAGTTGCCTTTGGATTAGAAGTTGCATTCAGATAATAAGGCCATCTCCAACCGAGTAGGCCAAACCCAAAAGATCCTAAATTTTAGCCCAATTCCTCTTTCAACCCAAGAAAAGTAAGGGGCTAAAATTTGGGAAAACTCAAAATTGGGGCGGAATACCAGTCCAGCTATTGCCTAGACTGGAATTTTTGTGTGTGGAGCACACTGAGCCATGATGTTGCCCATGTGTGGAGGAAACAATGGGCCCCATCACTGTTGTGCTGCTGAAGCTATCACGCCACGTGTCGAAAGCTGGTGATGTTGTCGTTGGAATCCAAAGGCACAATTTAAACATCTCCTTTTTTTTAAAAACAGTAACCTAAATCAATGCTCTAGATTAAATCCAAGCTATTTTAACGGTAAAAAAAAAAAGATTCAACGACTGAAATTTAAATCAAATGGTCAAAAATATTTTAAATTAATCTAAATTAGATCCAACCCGAAAACTCACTCCAAACTCCATAAATACCCATCCATTTCTCAAATAATCTACCAAAAATATTTTTCTATTTCTCAATTTATTTTCCCTTTGTCAATTTCATCGATCTCCTTTCATTCTTGTTGAAGAAAAGTTATCCATTTAAACAAAAATTAAACTTAAACGATTCTTAAACAACTTAATAAAGTCGCGGACTTAAAATTTGGGTTTGAAAGGTTATAGAGGAAAAAACGGTTTGAGTCCAGGCAAAACTGAAATAGTTACATTTTGGAGGAGGGAAATTTGGGCTTAGGACCAAATAGGTTGGAGGAGGCCGAAGTTGCCTTCGGATTATAAGTTGCCTTTGGATAATAAGTTGCCTTCCGATAATAACTTGCATTCGGATTATAAGTTTCATGCTGATAATAAGTTGCCTTCGATAATAATTTGCCATTGGATTAAAAGTTGCCTTTGGATATAAGTTGCCTCCAAATTATAAGTTGCCTTCGTATATAAATTGCCTTTGAATAATAAGTTGCCTTTGGATTATAAATTGCCTTCAGATATAAGTTGCCTTTGGATTATAAGTTGCATTTGAATATGGTGATATTACCATTTTGTTAAAGTGTACTAATTATTGTTGTTTTTATTTTGTTTTGTTTTTTTTCAACTTCATTGATATCTATGTTCTTTTTAATGAAACTTGGGCTGGGCTTCAGTTTGGGTTTTTGTTTTGAAAATGTGGTGTTAAAGTTGTAATTTAGTTTGGATATTTTAAGGGTTTAGGACTTCATTTGGTGGCAATGTTGTAATTTATAGGCTTGTTTAGTGCTGTTTTGTTTTTGAACATGGACTTTGGTTTTTTAATTGACTTTCTATATGGGTGGGTTTTGTGCTATTTCGGGCCCCACTATTGGGCCTCAAAGTCCAGCTCCCAAATTTAAATTCACTTTACCAACCCAAAAAGGAAATAAATAGTTCATTCACTATATCCTTAATATTTATAACCAAAATTTTCTTTAATATTAAGTTTGATTTACCTTTGAGCAATAGGCCCATTAACATTTCTTATATTGAATTGTCACAAATTACAAACGTCATGGAACACCAAAGAGTATCTAGGGAGAATGACGCAGCGTGACAATTAGATGGCTAAAATGTTAACCTAAAACACAACTCTGGAATCTACCATGAAGGAATGAGGGAACCTAAGGTATTGTCCAATTTGTGGGAAATAGCAGCTATTGTGAACAGTACTTAAAAATTACTACTTTAAGGATAATCTTGTTCTTTATTCCCCTTCCAATTCTTTCATCCTCAAAAACTACAACGTGCAGAATGATAAGCCTTGCAGGCAGGCAGCGGTGCAAGCCAAACATATAGCACTTCACTTCATGTAAGATAGGTTTAAGAGACATGAAAACTTGAAAAAAAAGAACAAACTCGGCTTATAGTATATTTGTAACAACACTTTTGAAATGAAACTTCATATATGGAATGAGTTTAATTAAGCAAATGACCTATGATCAAACCATAAAAGACAAATTATTAAGGCATACGTATACAATACCATACAAATAACAAACCATACTAATTAAGAAAAAAAGATCGAACAACTTGACAGCACGCGACCGGTACGTACTGCATGTGAACATATTTAAGGGCTAGTGGCTGAAGGTGGTGGGGAGAAAAATGGGATGGAGGGAATTGTAGTAGGGATCCCTGAGGGGAAGTTTGGCAGTGGAGGCAATGTAACCTTAGGGATAGTTGGCACAGTGGGGAAACTTGGCAGTGGAGGCAGCTGTGTTGTGGGTTTAGGTAGCGGTGGCTGGTTGATTGGCAAGTTTGGTAAAGTGGGTTGTGGCAGTGTTGGGAGAGGAGGTAAAGGTGGCAGTGTTGAAGCAGGTTTAGGCAACGTCGGTGCACCCGTCTGCAAAAGATTACGCCCTGCTACGGTGACATGGATGCTGGATGAGCACAAGATAACGAAGATAGCTAGGAAGCAGTACTTGCAAGAGGCCATTGGTTCAACCTCTCTCAGAAAGATTTGGAAGTAATTGTAATGAGTATGGTTTGAATTTGGATAATTAGATTGTGTTGTTTGGCCTGTTTATATAGCCAGCCAAGTAAAAATGTTTATGGTTGCGTTGTAGTTGATTTTCTCAGATATCGATACGAAAAATTTGACGATCTATTTTAGATGTAGTTGTTGGTCTTGTTGTGGTTCACCTTCTGGTTGACTAGGGTTGGGGTTGGCTAGCTTGAGCTAAATGACTCAATACTTGTATCTTTAAAATATTGGCTTGCGTGATCAATCAACTCTTTCGGTTAGCAAACCTAGCTATTAGGTTATCTAATTTAGCTCATTGTGATATTGTGAACGCCACGGCATCTGTATGTGGCAATCCAGACTTGGGCTTTTATGCTGAATTAGTATTAGGCCACGTGATGTGGCTTTAATCTCATCCTTCAACAAAATTCGACCTCTACTCCATCCCATATACAATAGATTTTTTTATTATCTCTGTTTTTTTTTTCTCTCAAAGATTTCTCCTCCCTATATATTCTAGAATCATATACATATGGAGCAAAGTTTTTATATAGTAATTTTCCAATTGGTCATACTATAGTGGAAAAGTATATGTTTGGCCTAAGACCAGCAGTGGCCAGCAGCGGTCTTAGGTTCGAAACTCCTAAGCATCAGAGAGAGAGAGAGAGAGAGAGAGAGAGAGAGAGGTTGTTGGGTGGTTGAGCTAGGTTGTGGCAAGGGGTGGGGTGGGGTTGGGATCGGTGGGTGGAGGAGGAAGGGTGAGGCTAGATTTTGTTTAAAAAAAATTTGTATAAAGTTATTTTATTTTTAATTACTTTTATTTTTCCGTTTTATGTATTTAATTTTCATTTTACTCGAAATTACAAATTTACCATTATTATTAACGGAAAATTAGATACAGTGACTATTTTGATAAGTTCAAGTGATGAATTATCTGCACATGGGGTGGCACCACAGTACAAAAATGGACCAAACTCTCTCCCTCCCCCAAGTGCACCCAGGTTCGATTCACGTAGGAGACAATCTTGAGATAATCCAATATAATACTCCCTCTTCCTCTCCGAATAACAAAACAAAAAAATGATAAATTGTCACTATGCAAAAAATCACCTTAGGCAAAGGAGGAGGAGTATTATAGTAGGCAATAAGCAATAAGCATCGTTTCTAAATTATCAATGTTGTCATTTCATGTATTGGAAAATACTTCCAAAAGCCCAAAAAGAACACTACCAAAGATCCAATATGAAGACTTCCAAAAAACTTCACTGATTTTTTAGTTCAAGAGGGTAAGTTCGACTAGGGTCATAGTTATGGGAAAATAACACTTTACTTTTATTTTTCCTTGGGTCCTCCAATGTGGGACACTCTCAACACCCCCTTACATGTAGGCTATTTTGCATATAACATGTGGATAATTCTTATTGGGTGATGTGGAAGCATGTGAGATAAGACGCCCAAGATCATTTAATAAATTATTAGGCAAAGCTCTAATAATTTTTCAATGTGGGATTCACACTCTCATCACATGCACATACATATGAAATAGTAGAATCACTATAAAAATAAGAATAAAATTATTTTACAACTTTTTTTTTATAGAAATTGTCTTATGTTAATAACAATAACAACAATATACAACAATAATCACACTATGGACATCTGAAACAAGAAATTAAAGACTTTATCTTATACAGTTGAAATAACTAAGCAACTTAAATGGATGGAGAAGCATCCACAGATTGTTGAAAATCCTTTAATAATTAAACTTTCACGACATACAAGAAAGATACTGTTTGGATCTAAATTCCACGTGCCAGCCTAATTAACTATTAGCCCATGTCAAAAACAGTGAATTGGGCTTTGTGTTAACAAAATCAAAAGTCGGCCCATATAGGTTTAGAGGCTCATACCTTAATGTGCCAATTGCAAGGAATAAATTTACAAATTAAAGATTAATTGCCATTAATGGTGATTTAATCTGGACAAATTAATTTTTAATTAGTTAAAAATTAAGCCCAGCTTCTAATCTCTCCAAAGGCTCAAAATTTGATCATCACCTTAGATCACAATTTCAAAGATCAAGTTCGCAGATTCGTGGGGAAGATCTTTCTCTCTAAAAGCCCATGTGACTCTAAAGTCAAAATTTCAATAGGGCAAAGAACATGATGGGGAGTTGGTAAGAGGTTTAATCAGAAAACCACTCCCCATAACTATTTAATGCCAGAAAATAGGGGCCAAGTTTCCTTCCTATGCTCGTGAGGGCTATGCATCAGAGCAAGTTGGGTTTACAAGAGATAAACAAAGATAGGAGAGTTGGTTTGTTAGAAAGTCAAAACTGATCATCATGGAAGCTGACTATTGATAGGGTTTCTTGTCAAACTAATTACTCCCCTATTTTGCTTTGGAACAGAAAATCCTCTCAACAAATCTGTCCTCCAGATATTAAGGAACAAACCCTCATTCAGATTCTCTATAAATATGAGAGGAGGTAAACAGGATTGGGGACAACCAAAAATTCAATCAAAACGAAAATTCTCAATCATACTGACAAACTCAAACAAGATTATACGATCTCAAAAGCCTTCAGACTTTGAAGCAATCAAGCTCTTTGATTTACAAAAGACATCCAGTCTCTGACAGAACAGGTAGAACTCAGGTTTCTGGCTTTAGTTCAACTTAAAGAAGTAGCTCACTAAGAGGACGAGATTTCTCTCGTTACAAATTCGGTCTAGCATAGGTGAATCAAGCAGAACTCAAGTTTTTCATAATATTAAAACCTCGACAAATTTACAAAGATGCCTTGATCTCTCAGAATTGCCAGAATAGCTCTTGGATGATTCATAATCAAGCAAAACAAGTATTGAAGAATAGCTCCAGTTCAACAATCATCAGTCTAACCACTTCCAGCCCCGTCCAGACTAAAGAGATCTCAATTTTGCCCATCTAATAAGCCTCTCTATGACTAAAATAGATTAAAGCTCTGCCAATTTCAACATTGGTATCGATTTCCAACTGAACCTCATCAGTTGAAGTGTTAACATTTGAATCCAACACAGATATATCCAGCCCAGCCAGAATCACAGGCAACAATCCAAGCAGAAATCGAAGCCCAATGTTTTGATGTCCTTTCAGACGTGGCAGTTCCCTTTTATTTTAAATTGTGTAATAATCAGTTCTCTTTAAAACAATTTGATTTATTTTCAATATTCATTTTGGCCAGAACCACTAGTTTTTACTGTGAGAAATTATGAAGTCATCACCAGTCTGAGGCAAGAAAAGAACTTACTTGAGAGATATTCCTCACCTAAATTCACAATTACTTGTATTAAAGTCAGTAACTTGGGGCCCAAGTTATCTATTTTTCATAAGTCTGTTAGGGTCTTGACTGCTAACAGTGACACTCTCGCACACCAAAGAAAGTTGACTTGTTGACCACAAATGGTTTTCAAGCCAACAGAGAATTTTACCCTACCATCACAAGAACTAAATCAAAATGGGTGAACAGACACAAAGGCCTTCCATTACCATAACCCTATTTGATTGAACTAAACAAAGCAAAGATTCAAACTGTGCAAAGTGAAGAACACCAAATGTGTATATATACATATAAACAGAGAGCTTCCATTACGAATCTGTTTTCAACGATCCAAACTATCTATTTTTAAGTCTACATCCATAGATTATCCTAGTAAAAAAAATTGGACAAATCGGAAACCGTTTCGACATCTAATTGTGTCCTACAAAATCAATGAATACGGTGCTTCAAGAAAGTACTAAAATTTCAATAACTCAATTGAGTGGGAAAATGATATCAGATTCAAGCGATTTTTTGTAGAGATGATCTTTGAATGATTATCTAAAAAATAGATGGTTTGGATTAGTGAAATACAATGTGGAGTGATCCCTACATGGGTGTCCTTCAAATAAGCTTATTTGAGGGATCCCTCAATGGAAGCTCTATTTGTATGTATATATAGATATATATTCTTAAGGGTGAGATGTTGAAGATGGTGTATTGGAGTGGGCTCTTTTCCAACCAGGTATAGTCGGCATTATGTGGCGGAAGGGAAGATTTGATAGCAATGCAGTTGGCAGAGGAGGTGGTGCAGAATTCACCTCTCGAACGACAACGTTTGGAGTGTTTATGGTAGTTAAAGTTGGAAGTGAAGCTAAGTTGGTGTTGGAGGAGGTGGTAGACTGCAATGCTTGCTGAGGAGGAAATTTGATCCTGGCCGTGACATTGCCTATTAAAGTTGCAATAGGCTGGACAATTGATCCTAAAGCTGGCATACTTGGAATAAATGGCATATCTGATGGCTGAGTTTGTAGAAAAGGACGAGCTGTCAGGCTAACGTTCAAATCGATGAGTAAAAACATACAAGCAAACATGTAGCATAAGAGGGAGCAATTGTAGAAGGCCATGTCGAAATGATATTTAGAGAACTACAGAGAAGTAGAAATGGACAATGAAGCACTTTCCTCTTTCAGGTTTGACTGTGGTAAATTATGGGTTCTCTTCAATATTTTTTTTTTATATTGATGAAGATGCAAGGGTACATCATATACAATTGGTTGTTGATCCCCATCTAAGGTTGTGGGAAATTTTAAAATTCTGATTTTTTATTTGTTTAAATGTTCACTAATTCTATTTCTTACCCCTTATTATTTAATAGTTTATTAACTAGTTGAAACGACTGATGATGTTTCTTTTTGGTTGAAAAACAAAATCTTTAACCATAAGGTGTGGTGCGGTTGGCAAACTGCCACCTCCAGCTGCGAGCTACCTAGTGCCTCAATGGCAGAGGTTTGAAACCCATTGAAAACACTTTGTGGCTTGGGGTAAACCGAACCCCGAGCAGGGATTAATCCCACTCTTCGGATGTGAGGACACTTCGTGGTATTTACCAAAAAAGAAAACAGTATCTTTTTCCATAATGCTATACAACAACCTAATATCTTTTAACCGTTTGATCATTTTCTTCAACCTCAATTTTACTATACCAAGAGTTTTCTTGAAAGTTAATTACCGGTGGATAAAATGAGGTTCATATTTTGGTTTTAATATACAACTTGGTTAGCTACCCTACATATAGATCTTGCAGGTACTGTGTACATGGGTTGTAAGGATCTTAGAGAGTGATCTTGCAGTTGCTGTTGAACTTGTCAACTCCATCCTTTAACCCTATGTTGCA